TTCTTTTTACATCAACCTCCTCCAAGCTCATCTCTCCATCTGAGTTGTGAAGGGGGGAGGGATTACAAAGTATAAAAAAAAAAAACTATGGCTTTTCATTATTACTAATGTCTCTTCAGAAATAGAGCTTTCCAAAATTAGTTCGAATGAAGGCAGAGGGATGACGTGGCCCTGACGTGAAAACGGGGAGACCTGGTAAAGAAGAATGCTCTCTAGCTAAATGTCAACCGCAGTTCAACTCGCACCTTCCTCTGCAAACGAAATTTGTTGACGAATAAATTCGCAGAAAAACACTGAGAAATCTTTAAAGTGCTCACTCCCAGTTATTTTTTTTAGAAGTTTCGCAATAAAAGAAGTCGTACATTGGAATGGAAGACGAATATTGAGGAACAAGAGGCTCCTCATAAGTTTTTTAACGTTTTCACTACTGAAGTATAATAGAATATAGCAAAAAAATATTTTACAGTTCCAAATTTCTATTTTACTGCTATAAGTCACAGAAAGATAAACAAAATAAGAACTATACTGCTAGGGGGCTAATATTTTTAAGTACACATACGTGGACCTCGGGTTTTAATAACTAAATAAAATAATATAAATATTTCAAATGTTAAATCGCAAGTAGGAAAAACCTGCATATTGTTTTACTCTGATCTATTTAAATACAAGGATGAATATATTTAATTATTATTTAGAAGGGAAAAAAATTAAAAATACGATTTTTTAATTTTTTTATAATGAGATGCATTATTAAATGTAATACCAATGCATTACTGCAGGAAATCTCCGTCTCAAAACTATTTTACTTACGCAAACGACGCAAATCAATAATTATTGAAAAGAATCTAACATTAAAGATAAAAAAATATTTACATTTTGGGGGTAAAATTTCAAAATTATGGAGGGAAAAAAACACGAAAAGTTAAAGTTATTAAATGTGGGATATATACCTTAATATAAGTCAAATTAATTAAAACATACATAAAAATATTACTAAATGGATATAAAATTGAGTACTTATAATACTACGAGAATTCACTCGACTTATACGATGGCATAAATTTCACACATACGTAGACCTGCGTGATCTTAAGTTTAAATATTAAGTAAATATAAATTTAATAGCTTCCTACAGATCACAGAACTACAAGAATAATAATTTTAAAAAAAATTTCTGGAAAACTAAATTATATAAGATTTAATATTTTCGAGCACGAGGATTTAGGGCCATTTTTTCGAAAATCACTTCTGTTTATGTGGAATTCTATCCAAATAAGGCTTAAATATCCACGAATGATTCAGTGAGAGAATAACTATAAATTTCCTTATAGCGTGTTTTTAGAAGCTAAGCAGCGAAGGTTCACATATGTGAAGAGGTTAATATTAAAGTATTTAAAGGAACATCAGACTAACAATAAACTGTTGCCAAAAAAATTTTAAATAGGCAAAAATTAAATTTCGTATACAGTGAAACTAACAAATTATTGCCCTTAAAAAATTTTTAAAAGGAAGCTAGAAAAATAACGTAGCGTTTTTTATAGTATTGTCTTTATTAAACAGTTTTTTATTCTATTTAATTTTAAAGTTTTGTTTGTAAATAAACTTTTAAAAGAATAACTTTTTTGATATACGAATTAAGTCAAGGTGCAAAAATTATAGTTCAACGTCAAACTAATTTTTTTTATACAGATATATCGTTATTTATTTTTTAATTCAAGCGTCGGATGACAGACATTTCATTCCCAGTCATTTTTGTTTCAACCATTAAAAAACCACAAAGAAGTAAAAATTATTTTTTTCTGTTTCTTTACCTTAATCCCTTCTTAAGAATTAAAATGTTTTCTTTGGACCTTCCCTTTTGAAATCGAAGATTAAACATTTTTAATTTTCGCAAAGCTAGTACAAGAAGCAAAATATGAATAGATTTTGAATATTGATCTGATCCGCATTAATAAATTACCATTTAAAATAACGCATTTAATTCGAAGCAAATATTATTCTAATGTGTCACATTTTCAACTTTATAGATTCTTAAAAAATTCATTTAATATATCACTTACAACTATCAAACTGGACACAAAAATTAAGTTGTAATCAAACAAGAAATAATTTTGCCGCATAAATCATAAAATTATGTATTAAGTCATAACTTCAACTCAAAAGACAAATTGTAAGTGTGATGTAAGTGGGATGGGTGGATACTGGATTGATCCCAAAAACCACAAGTTAATGGGAGAGTACCAACAGGTAGTTAAGAGTTCGGTTCCAAAATCTATGATATTCTTTTTTTCATTCCGATTTGACTTTCACGGGAGTAGAAATTAAGAAAATTTAGTCACTGGTCTGAACGACTAAAAGTTTTTATTAGTCCGTTCCAAGGAGCGATTTCATCAACTAGCAAATTGCCAGTTAAAAATAATAATTACAGTAGCAGAAATTGTTTTTTAAATCTTACAGACTGGTCTATAAATCGTTTTTTCATCCTTTTTCACGAAATTTTTTAAACTCCGATGCTTTTAATACGATGTTATTACCACACCACACGTGAATTTCGAATCTGAGAAATCAATCACTTTATGACGCAATCGGTTCGAAAAAGTTCCGTGGTAAATCCTCAATGTTTACCGATCATTTTTTTCGACAGTTATTTACCGTTTTTCAGCATTTTCGCATAGTTTTTCAATTCTCGATATTTTTGAAACAATTTTATTGCAACACTCGATGTTCGAATTTGAGTAATCACTTTACCCGCTTGATCGCTGCTATTCTATTGTTCATCCACGCTATTTTTTATTGTTTTCTCGGCAATTATTTTTGTTTTTACGGCTCTTTTCACGTGGTTTTCCAGATTCCAAAATTTTTCAAAATGATGTTATTTTGTTAAGCGAATTTCACATTCGAAAAATCACTTTTAGACATTCTAGATTAGCGATGTCTGCTTCTACGCGTCTTACGTCTTTTTCCGATCCATTTTTCGCCCATTTACACGTGTTCTTCAAATTCCCAATTTTTAGTAGGACGTTGCAATACACGGATTCTGAATACGAGTCATCAGTTTTTGACGCTCTTGTTTCTTAACTATTCCATCGTTAATTCATATCGTTTTCAAGATGGCTATTTTTCGTTTTTACGGCCTTTCACTCGTGGTTTTTCAAATAAAAATATTTTTCATTCAACATTATTACAGCACGCGACTTTCAAATTTGTAGTAGGTAATTACTTTTTGCTCAATTTGCGATGATATCGTTTTACAAACGTTTCTCCAGCTGCTTACAATCCTCTTTTTATGGCTATTTCCACATCGTTTTTAAAGTATCGATATTTTAAATATAGTAGTGTTACTACGACGATTTTAGAACCGCACATTGAGTTTTAAATGTTTAATGCGAACCGTTTACGAAGATAACAAGTAAATTCCCACGGTTTTAGTTTTTCGGTACCGTTCAGTTATTGCTACTGATTTCAACGTGCTTTTTAATCTATCGATAATTTTGATACAACATTATTACAATAGGAAGATTTCGTCCTTTTACGTTAGCTTCCGTAGGCAAGATTGAATCAACTACTGCACATGCTCACGTTTATTTTAGATGCTACGTATCTTTACGTTATGTTGGCAAAGACAAAGCTACAAGTAAGATGTTTATAACTGTTAAATGTTGTTTTCTGTTTAAGCCTGTGAACTTAAAACATGGATATGGAATGCAAATTTGAAGAAATGATTTGAAGGATGAAATTTAGAAACGAATCGCGTGATCTTACAACAATTAGTTCATTCAATAAAAAATAATTTTATTAGTTTTCGTTAAACATTATGGTTGTCTAATTTCACTAGTTCCATAAGAAACTAGATATATTTTCTCCATTTTAAAATTATAAATTCTATTTATTTTAACTATACAATTTAGTTAAAAGAACTTAAATAATCAACAGAAGTTCAATAATATTTTTCAAATATTAATAATAATAATAAACTGCATTCTTTATAGCTGAATTCATAAAAATCTATGATCTACCAAATTTTTCTGCTCACATATGTAGAGCAAAGCATCCTGAATAGTGTACCACAGCTTTAAAGAAATAGTCTACGTTCATTGTAAATGTTTGTTTTGATGTTCTGGTTTTTGAAAAATCTCTTATTTTCACTTACGTACAGGCAAGCACAATTACTCGAAATCTTACGTAGGGGAGCGTACAGAAGCTAACGTAAGTTTGCGACAACTCCCTAATATGTAAAATTTAAGAAACGCAAAGATTTCGTACGGTTTAAAACTGTTTTGTGGAATGCGCGAATTCACCCATTATAATTTCTTTAACGAAAAAAAAAATAGCATCCTATAATGTATTGTGATATAGCTTTTGAAGAATAATAGTATGAAACCTGAATATCCTATCAGAGTTTTTTAACTCTAGCAGACTTTGCTACTGAATTTAAAAATTTAAAAAAAAAAGATATCATCACCTGATACCGTTTTCCTTTGATTTTTTTTTTAAGGATAATAAAGTGAATTTAAATATAAACTACGATAATGAGTTAATTCAGAATTATAATGAAATATTCGACTTAGTGATAGAAACGACTAAAATGCAAAAACAATAATCAAAAAATTAGAACAGCACATAATCCATTTATATGCTGGTTCTAGGAATAACTGACTCTCTATACGTTACTCATGTAATTAATTATTTATGAAATAAATAGCAATAGATTGGAAGAAAGACTTTAAAAAATGCAAATTTAAAAAAACTTTATTTTTGCAACTTGTTTGAAGGAAAACTCAGTTAGGTGCACTTAAACAAGAACTTGCGCAAGTTGACAGCGATTCTTGCTTATCTATCTGTATTTTTAAAGAGATGTTTTACAGAGTACTAGAAAATGAATGACAACTGCCTTTTCCTCAGTTTTTAGAAGCTTTCCGTAATTGTTCGTTCGGAATTAAAAATTAGGGCATTGCCTCTTATAATCAAAACAAATGAGCCAAAGAAGAAGGAAAACTCACCAGAGGCATGCAGTCTGGGCTGGAAAAAGAGGAGTTACAAGAGAGGAGATTGCCACAGGCTACCATCAGCGGTACTGTTTGAGATATTGGCATGTAAGATGATCTGAAAGAACAAATGAATCAATTTTGATCGACTGGACGGAATTAAAATGACAAAATATTCTAAATAATGATAATTCACAACTAATAATCAACGAAATCAGAAAAATAGAATTGCATTACTTCTTTTTTGCAAATTTAAACTCAAGCTCCAAGGTAAGAGATAAAATTCGATAAAAACGTAGTTCAAATTAGAAATAGGTAAAAAAGTTGGATATCCGCAAAGTCAATTTTATGTTATACGTTTTCATATTAATAAAATGCCATGTCTTGTACTGAGTTTGATTCGGATCATTAAAAGAAAATCGTACAATTATATATATATATATCACAATAAAGAAAAAAGTATAAAAAAACGAAGAAAAGAGAAAAACGAAGAAAATTAATAAGTTTTATTTACTGCGCATAAGCTGCAAGAACTCATAAAATAAGTTAAAAAATATAGAGGAAACATGAAAAATAATAAAAGATTAATGAAAAGAGAATAAAAATAATAAAAATATTCTATTTTATTAATTACTTGTATCTTAACGAAACATCCCACACATAATTTACAATCTAATAATAAAATTTCTAAAACAAAAATTTTTTTCACTAATACTGTAAAAAAAAAAATTCTCATAAATAATATTGTATCTTAATGAAATCACAAAGGGGGCTTAAAAAGAATTTCGAATTATTTAAGAAGTAGTTAACACAGCACAAAGTGACAAAAAACAACAACTTAAAATGAGCCAGTTTTAAGTTGTTGGGGGAAAAAATTTCGTCACAGTATTTCATCAATTTAAAAAAAATAAAAATCATAATCTCTCTCTCATAAGAGGTTCTCCTCCTTAACTCATAACGAATGCAGCCCAAAATCATGGAAACAACTATTTTAACTATCAAACCATAAATTAAAAACTTTAAATCTTAAAAAAAAAATAATAATAATATTCCAAAGCTAAACATTATGTATTTTGAGCAAAATTTCATAAGGAAAATTTAATTCACTTTGAGCATGAAATATCTAAAATTTTAAAAAAATCCTGCCATAATGGAAATTAAAAGTTCAATATTTAAATCTTTAACTTTCAGAAGTACTTATAGTTATCCATAAATTAAAAAAATTAATTTAAGTTCAGCTCAAAAAAAAAATTACGAATTAATATCTACTTCCTAAGAAAATAATAGCAATGACATTATCCACTAGATCGTGACACTATTTTTAGAGAAGACAGTATGAATGCTGGTGCTATTTAAAGAAGACACAGACACACGGAAAACGAATGAAGTTTAAAAATAAAAATTAGCCTTGCAATTTAAACAGCCATTATCATTTTTAGAAAGCAAGAAATATCGATATTTGTTTAAAAATCAGTAATATAATTATTAAATATTTATTACTAAACATTTGAGAATGCTACAGACATTAGTATTCGCTAGGACAACAACAAAAGATCCCGATTTAAGTTTTTTTGTCAAAAAAACAATTTCTTATTTTTTAACTTTTTTAATATAAACTATTAAATTATAACTACTGACAACATATTTTAATAATATGCAAAATAATTTGGCATATTAGAAAAAAAGATCAAAAATTGTAAATTTTTGAGAAATTTGTTTTAAGAAAATTCATTGTTGCACTACCTGGTGCTTAGAACGATAGATAGGCACATTATTTACGTCGCACTAGAGCTGCACAATGGGCTATTGGCGACGGTCTGGGAAACATCCCTGAGGATGATCCGAAGACATGCCATCGCAATTCTGATCTTCTGCCGAGTGGATGGTTCTCCTGCTTTGGTAGCCAGACGACCTGCGTGCGAAGTCGAGCACTTTACGGTAGAACAGTTTAACGAGGACCCATACCGGTCACCCTTGGTCCCTACGCAGACTGATCAAAGTGGTCACCCACACGCTTACTGACCGCAGCCAGGAATGCTTGATTTCGGCGTTCTACTGGGAACCGTGTCTTTACGATCACTCCACTGCGGGACTGGAACTTAGAACAATTTTTTTTAAAAATTGCGTATGCTTTGCAGATTGTGTATGAAAATTGCGGATTGTGTTGTGCAAAAAAATTGTGTATGTTTTGCAGAGAACTTGCTTTGCAGATTAGGACAATGAAATTGGGTTACATTTATATTAGTTTCATTATAGCATATCTTAGGTAGCTTGATTTAGCGATTATATAGTTAAACCCGCATGTGTTGCGTTCAAATTAATTAATATTCTAGTCAAAGATACATTTTGCAAAAGATCTATGCATGAAATATCTTGTACCAATTATGAACAGGTAAAAATAGTTTTAACAATGTTTCTGCTTGTCCCGCGCGAGACGCATGCAAATTAATTAAACTTTTAGTGAAAGAAACATTTTGTCAAGATCTATACGTGTAATATCTTTGTAAAGTGGGCAAAATGAAAAACGGGTCACCCTGAATAACTTATTATTTAGTCATCGGATCTTCACATTCTAGAACTCAGTCTTAATAGTTTGAAGGGGTGACTTTAAATATGACAATTAATGCGGGCAATATTTTAAGTTACGAAATCAAACACATAAATGCACTTTCTATGAATTAACATACCATTTTTTCGACGGCTTCGGATTTCCATTCCCCAAAACATAGGAAATAACCACAATCTGGGAAATATGGTTCCCATAGTTTGGTCAGGTGGGAGGTTCAAAGTTTGGACTCTTTAATGTAAATTTTATTTTTTCCTAATTTCGCCATATTTAGAGAGCTTCTTCAGCGAATTGATTTATTTTTGCATACAATATAATTCATTTACCTAAATGCAAAAAAATATTTAAATATTTATTATTTTTTATAATTTTATTTAATAATAATCGTAAAAAATTTGAATTGTAAGGTATAAAAATTTTTGAATCATATTAAAGTTAGTTATATACGTGGCAAAATACAAAAATTGAGAGAAATCGGTTGAAATAGTTCCTGAGAAATCAAATTTTAAAGAAACTGTATTTTGACAATTAAATTTCATAGAAACTACTCGACCGACTTTGCTCAAATATAGTATTTTGCCATGCAAAATTACATCATTCAAAAGTATGTGAGTAATTATATATGTACCTTACAATTCAACATGTTTTTCGACCATCATTTCATAAAATAATAAATATTTATAAAAAGTTATATTTTGCATGGAATTATCCTTGGATAAACAAATATTATAATTCTGTACAATTATTATTATTTTTTTTTTCATTTCGCTTATTAACTTCTTGATATATGGGGAATTGAGCATAAAATAAAATAAACATTAAGGGGTTCAAACTTTGAAACACGCTCTTGACCAAGATATGGGGACCCTATTTCCCAGATTGTGGCAACCCTAATGTTTTGGTGTACAGAAATCCGAATCCGTCGTAAAAAAGGCATGTTTATTCAGAGAAAGTAAGTTTTTGTGTCTGATTTCGTACCTTAAAATATCGTCTGCACTAATGAATTAGCATATTTAATGTCATCCCCTCAAGCCATTAAGATTCAGTCCTAGAACGTGAAGATGTAATCATACCAAAAGTTATTCAGGGTGGTCAGTTTCTTATTTTGTGCACTGTACATACTATGAACCAGATAAAACCAGTTTTATTATTGCTTATGCTTGCTCCACGTGAGACGCACGAAAATTAATTTTTTAGTCAAAGAAACGTTTTCGAAAAATCTATGTCTGAAATATCTTGCTATCAAATATGAACAGATAAAAACGGTTTATCAATGTTTCTGCTTATCCACGCACGTGACGTACCTAGTCAGATTTTTTTTTTTTAATATATAGCTGTAAAATTTACAAATAGAGGTTATTGATTGTGAAAAAAATTATTAAAGGAAGTTTAATAATGTTAAAAATATTATTGTAGGAAGCATAATAATGTTAAAATAATTTTAGGAAATATAATAAAAAAAATTATACATTTAAGCACCATGATGATATTAATTGTCTAATTTATTTTAACCCTTTCTAAAGCCGTGGTAAACATATTTACCACTACTATAACTTTGGTATGCCATTTCCCATGTAAAAATACATTCTTTAAAATTATGTATAAAAAAAATGGATACTTTACAATTCAAAAAAATTTCGACTAATATTAAATAAAATATCAAATATTTACTAAAATTTATTTTTGTATGGAATTATCTTTAGAAAAACGTATTTTATAATTTAGTCCAAAATTTTTTCCAATTCGCTTAAAAATTCTCAAAATATTGTGAAATAGACAATTAACAATTAACAATGTACCTTTATGTTATTGTGAATGTACAATTAACATAAAGGGCCTAAATCAAAAGTTATCCAAATCCATTGAAAAAAAGGGTATGCTTATTCAGAACATTTTTTCAAAATTCAGATCAGATTACGTTTTTGTGTCTGATTTTGTAACTTAAAATATCGTCCACACTAATTAATTAGCATATTTGAGGTCACCTTCTCGAACCATTAAGATCCACTCATAAGATCAAAAGTTATTCAGGGTTGTTCCCTTTCTTATAGAGAGGGGAGGGGGATATTGGACTTTGTAATGTTAAATATTGGATTTTGTAAGCAAAAACATGTATTNAACATAAAGGGCCTAAATCAAAAGTTATCCAAATCCATTGAAAAAAGGGTATGTTTATTCAGAACATTTTTTCAGAATTCAGGTCAGATTACGTTTTTGTGTCTGATTTTGTAACTTAAAATATCGTCCACCCTAATTAATTAGCATATTTGAGGTCACCTTCTCGAACCATTAAGATCCACTCATAAGATCAAAAGTTATTCAGGGTTGTTCCCTTTCTTATAGAGAGGGGAGGGGGATATTGGACTTTGTAATGTTAAATATTGGATTTTGTAAGCAAAAACATGTATTAGAATGAAAATGGAAACATAGAAAAGTTTTACTAAAAAGTGGTCCATAATACAACAGTTTATTTTTAAATCCCATTAAATAAAAAGTGTGGACTTAAAGAGAAAAATCCAGTTGTTTTTATGAAATGATGAATATTTTAAACAAACTTTTGTGCAAGACAGAAAATTATTTTATTATTTTATATTTTTTATAACTAATAAAAAGAATTAAAATAAAAATAAAAATTTTGAATAGTATAATGCATTAAATTCAAATAAAAAAGCTATGACACAAATTTAAAGAAAATTCATGATAACAAAAATTAAATATTTTCCAACTTATTCCAAAATATAAATACTTTTTAAAAAATGCATTTTTAAAATAAAATTTAATTAGGGATAACAGGAAAAAATTTTTACAACTGCATTTTTTAAAAAATATTTCCATATTTTGTAATAAGCTTGAAAATGTTGCATTTTTGTTATCATGAATTTTTTTTTAAGTCTGCATTATAATTTTTATCTTTGATTATAACTAATTATATTTCAATTTTACAGCACTCAGAATATTATTAAACAGTAAACAATTTATCAATAAATAAAAAATTTTATAGGTTTTTTTAGGAACTTTTCCTCGCGTTAGGCAATTTTAAAAACTATATTAAAACCACAAACATCAATCTAAACAGAAGGAGAGAAACTGGCTAAATTGGTTGTCTGCAGGATTTTAATAACAGTTATAAGCAATATGCAAAATCAACTGCATGAATCAGGTTTTAATTTTGCCTTGCTTCATTAACCCAAATCTTAAGACTTATGTATTATATATATTATTTAAATTTATTAAATCGTAATAAAAGATATGTGCAGTTGAGCTGGGAGAGAAATGCTTTATGATTCATCAAAAGAATTTATGTACATATTGTGCAACTCTAAAAAATTTTTAAGGCTGAACTTATTTTTTGACCAATTAACACGGTCTAGCGTTATTTAGCAGAATTTTTCAGAAATTTATAGCTCACTTTGGAGGAGAATGACCCATACATTATCTCAATGAATTGATTACTTTTTTTTAAAAAAATATATATTTATTTTCTTATTTATTTATTTTTTTACAGCAAACAAAACAAAACTAACAGTTAATCTTCGATCTTTTTACAACAATCTGTGAGTTACGCCACAATTTTTTTCTTAGAGTTATTCATATCTCAAAATATTTTTCACTTCATTATCACTAAATTTATATCATATTTCTATGTATTTAGTTTTTTTTAAAAATGATCTTATATTTTTTTAAATAATTTGGTAGAAAATAAAAGTTAATTTTCAAAACAAATTGAAAATAAATATTAATTGGTGGATGGATTTCAGTCCACTGATATTTTCTCAAGACTGATTTCAGTTCTCAGGACTGAAGAGTGGAACTGATGTAGATAAAGTATATTTTGATCAAAGAGAGGACGTTTTTCAAAAGACACAAACACATCTCCTACATTTTAAGTTAGTGATCATTTTTTTTAAAACTTAATTATGAATCAGAAAGTTCAAGAACAACTTACTTGTTTAAAAAATAAATAAATAAAGTTATAATATAATAATTTATTAAATAAAAATAGAGTATATTATCTACATCAATAAGAATAGGAAAAAATCTTTTTTCACGTAATTACTATTGCATTATTCTATTGCATTTCTAATTGGAAGTTAAGGGGTGGAGAAATTAAATGATCCAAGTCACAAGTTTCAAAACCAGGCAATGCAATTAAATTTAAATACCATATATTTTAAGAAAAATATATTTTTGATCCTAAAAAAATTCTTTTTGGCAAACCAACTCATGTTTAAATATAATAATATGTATATCGAAATATAACGAGTACTTCAATGACAATTAAATAAAAATGAAGAGTTTAGAACAATAAAATGACAAGCCACTTTTCTTTTTTGGAAGGAGATATTTTTTTTTACCATCCTTTGTAGTAGCTGTAGTTTTTTCATTTTTTTTTTCATATCTGGCGTTAAACAGCCGACCCAATTTTGGGTTTATGACTACTAATGTTCAACTCCATAGCCTTGTCATTTTTAACTAATCCAGAAGACAAGGAAACTCCTGGAACAGTGCCCTCAGAGGTATTGATTTGTAATGGGAACATGAAGGACGACACTCGACAGATTTAACGTCCATCAGTCACCATTTGCACGGGGTGTTTTCGGCCGGTGTGGATCGAACCCACAAACTCTTGGACGTGGGAGCAGTGCCCTACCAACAAGGCTATCCCAGCTGGAAGTTGTTTATTTACTACACACTAGAGATGCACAATGGACTATTGGCGACAGTCTGGGAAACATCCCTGAGGATGTTACAAAGACACGCCATCATAATTTTGATTCTTTGCAGAGGGGGTGGCTCCCCTGCTTTGGTAGACGACCTGCGTGCTAAGTTGAGCACTTTACGGTAGAACAGTTTAACGAGGACCGATACAGCACACCCACGGTCAATACGCAGGCTGATCAAAGTGGTCATCCACACGCNCAAAGACACGCCATCACAATTTTGATTCCTTGCAGAGGGGATGGTTCCCCTGCTTTGGTAGACGACCTGCGTGCTAAGTTGAGCACTTTACGGTAGAACAGTTTAACGAGGACCGATACAGCACACCCACGGTCAATACGCAGGCTGATCAAAGTGGTCATCCACACGCTTACTGACCACAGCCAGTGATGCTTGACTTCGGTGTTCTACTGGGAACTGTGTTTACCACCCTTTAATAATGTTTCTACACAATTGCTATACAAGCATCCAGAAATTTCAGTTCATAACAAAATACACAAAAACAACTTATTGTGTATACAGAAATTGGGAGGGGAAGTTCCAGTCAAACATGTACTAAAAAACATTTGAAAACATTTAAATGTGGCTCATCATTATTTTGATCCAAGCACTTTAAATATAAGTAGAAACAGAAAGAAAAAAAAACAATTTTAGGAAATAAAACAGCAACATAGTAATTCTTTTTGAAAACTTTAATATGAGTAATATAAAGGGGCTAGCTAGTTAAAAAACTGTCATTTAAAAATGAAATAAATGTCATTAATTAAACACTTTTTTTCCCTTTTTTTAGAACTATTCAAATAAATTAATTTACTATAACAAGTGATCTAGCATTATGGTATTTACAAAATTAGTGATTATTAGTTGAGAGTGCTAAAGCACCTCAAACGATTTTCTCCAGGAAAGCTTACTACAGTCAACAATTATATATTAAGGTAATGAAAATTATTTAACTGTCACAAGAAATCCTTGAGAGTATGTGATAGGTTGAAGTATAACTTATTTAATAACTAACAATTTATGTATTCTTTTCAAAAATTTAGGTTAATTTTAAAACATTTATCTACGTATTCTTAATCTGTGTGAGATGCAGTCAGAAAAATTACTCCAATTCCAAAGATATTTAGGAAAATTGTTAAGATTTCCAAATGGATAAAGTATACACATAAAACATTTAATTAACTTAATGACATAGTACTTGTATTAAACTAATCCAATAAGCAAGAAACTGTAGTTAAGACTCACAAAAGATTTTTATATTAAGTATTTTAACCTTTCCTTCTCTCTCCCATCAAGATGGAAGGGCGATGCATCTCTCTCAATTTCTCATGCCTGCGACATTTCCAAGGTGACATGTTTAAAAGTTACACATCAAAAAGATTAAGACACTATTTATTATGCCTGGAATCATGCTTATTTCTCAATTTATATACCAAATGATAGTAGCAGACTATTTCTAATCACTATAGAGATAGTTAAGCTAGATGTCAGCCATCAACAAACATGTATATTCGCTATTAACCCAAAAACTAAAAATGGATACATATATTGTACATATATACATATATTAGTTTTATATAATTTTCTTGAATAAAAGAAAAAAATGCACATTTTATGAACGTTTTCTTTAAAATTATGCGACCATCAAAGGGTTAAGAGTATTCAACTGAAGAAAATTGTAAAAAAGCTGAAATTCAAATATCTTTAATATATGAAAAGGAAAATAACAAAATCAAAACTAGTCTAAATTCTGTATTTTTTAAACATTCATTTATTTATTGATTTATGAATATATATTTTTACCACAGATTTTTACATTAATATTTTTACTCTCCTTTTAAACAGATATATGCCTTCTTTTGAAGTTTGTAATAAATTATTTTTTAAGTTAAAAGGAATTGAAGTCTAACTTTAGTGCAAAAAAAAAGAAGAAGAAATTACTTTTATAGTTTTATCAGTAATTTTAAATTTCTAACAATTATATCTTTGGTCATACGGCAGAGAAGGCAAAAAAATGCCCATTTTTATACTTTTTGCCTCCATCAAGTAATATGATGAGAAATCAGTCTACTAATATAAAAAGCACATAAGTTAACAAATTAGATTTCTTTCATATCATTAAAAAGAATGCAATGGTGGTAAATTCAATCATAAAATAAACTCATATGCTGTATTTAAAGAAAATTAAAATCAATTTAATAATGAGAATACAAAAAGTACATCAAAACAATTAAACCATGAATTAAAGTTGCATGAGAACAATATATTAAAAAAGATCAAACACAGTAACTTTAAAAATAAAAAAATTGAAGCATACCGTGTAAGGTTTCCTAAGATACTCCTCAAGACCCATCAATCTTAAAACATTTACGGGTAGACCTGAAGATAAGTTTCCTAAATTAAAGAAAAAGAATAATTGGATCAAGATAAATGATAACTTAAAAATAGCTAATTTACTCAGATTGAAGTTTAAACTTTATGGGACTATCGTAATAACAAGACATACTTAGAATTAAAACAGATTAGTAAAATGATAATAGAAATTAAAGATTTATACAATTTTAATATTTTTGACAGTTACGTAACAATCATATGAAATTGTGACAAAGGAGGATGGGGTAACAAGAATTGTGATTTGGTTCTCCTAAGAACATTTAAACTCAGCAAATTAAATAATTGCAAGCATTTATTTTTTCATCTAACATTTATTTTTAAAAAAAAAACACAAATAATCATTTTTTCATGCCCACAAATATCATTACACTTCATAGATTATTCTTAATAAAATTTAAAGAATAATCTATATTGACAATGTTTTATTTCTAAACTGTAAGACGTAAAATAACGAGAGATCAGGATATGGCGAAGTATGACACTAGGTAACAAAAGGGGTGGAGGTCAAAAATATTTTTTTTAAAAAAGGTGACAACATATATAAACATTCCCTTATCAGAAGAAAATACTTTTTTTTCCCCTTTATTTCAGAAAGAAAAAAAACTTTTGCAATGAAAACTTAAAAATTTGGTTAAAAACTTTTACTTGGTAATCAGGCTAGGAAAAATCATGATACAAAAATTAAATAAAAATCGTATTTTGTTTATCTAAATAAGAATATTTTAATTTTTTAAATATATTTTTCAATCAAAGCTCTAAAAATGTATTGGTAATAATCAATATTATTCAAAAACAATATTATAGCTAAGATATTCAATGTTTCCACCTAAAATGGTTCAAAAATATTATTTACTTGCTACAAGTTAAACACTGAATAAAATCATAATAACATTCCAGTTCAACTCTCTCATGAATTGTAAATAAATTTTATTATTTATTTACACTTAACTACATATGGAGGCAAAACCAAGCAGCATAGATTTGAAGGTCTGTTGAAGCTTAACTGTTCAAACTAGAAATAATCAGATTTAAACAAGAAATTCATTCCTGAAATCTCATTGATGTACTACTTTTTTTTCATAAATGATTTTTTTCTAGAAAAGGTTAAACCATCCTGTCTTACCCCACTAATGCAGTAAATCCAGTAAACATGTTAATTCCATAAGAAACTTAGAAACATTAGAATTTCTGTGAAAAGGCTGACATTTCTACTTAATATGACAAATTAAGAAAATTATGTACGTAATTTACATACAATGTAGTCAAAACCGTACTCAAAGGGGGTGAGTCAAATGCCTGAGGCCAGGAATGCTGAGGAACCTACCATTTTTTTTTACAAAAAAAAAAAAAAAACTAGTTTATTAATTAGTTTTTGAAAAAGAAAATTACAGAGAATATCTTTATATTTACATAACAACTATGATAATGAATAAAAGGGTTTCAACAATTCTACAAAATATGAATATAAGACTTTTTGTTTTTTTGGGAAGGAGTGTGCAATTAATACTGCCATGGGGTCAGTAAAACCTTTGATCAGTCCTGGATGTAGTTATCTTCTTCCTCTGCAGATTCTGTAAGCCAAGCATAGACTCACATAAAGGGGTTGAGGGCTAAACCGGTCTAAACCAAGAGCAGAGATTATCAAAACTTCAACAAACAAAAAAAAGTGCATTTAATGGTCGAAATCTTATTGTTTGTTAAGGTATGAATCTGTAGTAAATGTATAATACAGTATTTAACAAAAAATAACTTGTTATAACTAAAAATAATTTAGATAAGCTGGACCAAAAATGATTTCTATAACTGTGATGACCGATAAATAAGGTTTAGAAACAAAAGAGCTTTAGAGAATTGACAGAGTATAACAAACTTATCTACACAGACAGACGCTGTGAATTAATCAGCAGCGACACACAAATAGGTTCTTTTTAATGTGTAGTAAAGTGTTATTCAGAGTTTGTCCACTAGAAAACAGAACTAATTTCAATACAATCGAGGTACCCAGTCTTACTCCCACTACCCGATTTTACCCCCACTCTTTTCTACAATTAGCTTTAAAAGAAATACTCACATTTAAATAAATTTAAAACTAAATGGGCACTATTGAAACAAGTTTATTAAAAGCAAATTTGTTTGATAAACAGAAAATGGAAAATTATAGTTTAAAACTTACATGACACTTTTATCCACATTTGGTTTCTTTAATTATTATTTTATTTAGAACGTCAAATACATTCCCCTTTCATTTTTTGCTTAGATAAAACCGTTNTTGTTGTTTATTTTTTAAAATTTAATTTTTTTAATTATAATTTTACAGTGTTGAGCATTATCATGTATGTCTTTACATTTTAAAAAATCCTTGAAAAAGTTTTTTTTTTTTTTGCAATAACGGACGCTATTTGCACAAATTCATAAAAGCGGACCCTGATTGAAAAAATGTGAGTAATTTTTTCACAATTTCACGAAAAACGGACCTTTCACAAAATGTCTGGACAGACCCCTGTAAACAGAAAATTATAGTTTAAAACTTATATGACACTTTTATCCACATTTGGTTTCTTTAATTATTATTTTATTTAGAACGTCAAATACATTCCCCTTTCATTTTTTGTTTAGATAAAACTGTTAAATATAAAGTCAGACTTTAAAAAAAGAACTAAAAAGAATCACAACTTAAAGAATATATTTACAAATCATATTGTGGAGAAAAAAAATTGATATAAATTAATGCTTAAAAAAAATCAGTTGGTTTACAGCAATGTTTGTTTTTTTAAATCATGTGATTTAAATCATGCACGGCCTGCTGTTAATCAACAGAACTTCTATTATTCATGTAGGGTAAGGTGGGGTAAAGCGGGCATATTTTAAAAAAATCTATTTTACTCCTCTTCAATTGTGATAATTTGTTTAAATATTTTTTTAGATATTTACTGGGATTGCTGCAAGCATTTTTATTTCAGTTTTACAAACTTATTGTTTGCAAACTATCCGTTTATGATCAACTTCTAGAGTACATTAGTTTAAGTTGTCTGTGAACATTCGTTGAATATCATAAAAAAAACTAGCAAAAACCATTAATTTCAGTTCAAACTGGTAGAGGGATATTCAAAAAACAGATCTACATAGAAATTTAAGAATAAATTTTAAAGTTCTATTATTGTTGTCTGAAATGGGGTAAAGTTTGTATATGGTTAAGCTTAGCTACGTGTTGTATGATAGGGATATATATTTTTAAATCACTCTCATTTATATTTTAAATAAACAAAAACCAATTACAGTTTCTTTGCTTTTTGATGAAATTGTGTAGAGTTCAAAAAAATATACTGCATCCGAAGTGAAACCTAATTTTGATAGCCATGAACATTAACTCTTTTATTTAATAATACAAAGGGGGAAAAAATGTTAGGATTTATTTTTTTAAACATAATCTTGATACATTAATTAAGAGCATTTTTATTTCTGAAATAATATTTACATATGTTCCTTAGTAAAATATATACTAATGTTAGAACTATACCAGTGGGTATATCAAAACATGTTCTTTTAAATGCAATCCTGCAAGAAAACAATCAAAAAAATTAGTTAAGTTATGCTTCACATTTAATCTATATGAGTCCAATGTACATTAAATGCATCAGAATTTTCAGTAAAATAAATTTAATGACTTAGTTTTAGGGTATTCCTTTTTTAAAAAAAGCTTCATTTTATTCCCACTTTACCCGACCTAATTTTATTTATTACACAATCCAGGATTCCCTGTCAATTTCAGGAAAAAAAATCTAACTTTTCCAGGTATACCAGGAAAATTTCAATAAAAATCCAAACCATATTTTATCTATAGCATGCAATTTTTCATAAGACAACTTTGATTATATTTATTTGTAATGTCAAATATTAGATTTTGGGAGCAAAGAAATATCATTGAATGAGAATAGAAGCATGGAAGCTTCACTAAAATATGAAATTTTTAAAACAAATAGTGATGTTAGAATTTTTAACTCCAATTTCAACAACTGATCACTGTTACTGATAATTTTGAGACTGGCTATTTTCTAGGTACATTGTTGGGAGTTTTCCTCCTTTTTTTTTATAAAAAAAATTGCAATTTTTGCTCACTATTTCCTGTTTTTAAGACAAAATAAAATTCTCTAACAATTCCAGATTTTCCCCCTTCTCCCTAACCAGTAGGAGCCCTGATAATTTAATGATTGAGCAGTACTAAATTTACTTTCCATTATTCATTTCATTCTTGATTTCTTTCTTCTCATAAATTAATAAATAAAAAATCTGACAAAACCAGATTACAGAATTAAAAAAGATAACAGCAAAATAGCTTAACTAGTTTACTTAAGTTTTAAAAAAAAATAATAATAATTTGAAGTAAACATGATTTTAAACTGATTTTTATTGTGTTTAAGAGGATTAGCATAAATATATGTTTGTTGAAATATCCTACACACTGGTTTTAGCAACCCACAAAGAGAGAGTTGTGAAGGTCATAGGAAGAGAATTATGATTGGGTTGTTTCAATAGTGAAAAATTATTCCTTTGTATAAATCTGCTTAGTTTAACTGGCTAAAACATGCATTCAATTAATTCAAAAACATCAATTATTCAAGGAAGTATATATTATGAAAATCATACAATTTAAATCATTTTAAAACCTATTTATAAAAATAAATTTAAAAAGTAAAAAAAAAAATTTATTAAATAGTAAACGCAAGTTGAAGAGGACAGGGTGATCTTTAATGCTTACCCTGAGTAGAAAAATGAAGCATAAAAGTATACAAATCTTAATTTACATTTTCATCCAACATACAAACTAGTCTTGATGGTTTTAATTTTTTTTTCATAAAATTGTGACCTTATAAATAATATATTTTAAACAAAATTGTAAAAAATTCATACTATGAATAGAAATAACAAAATACAGACAGTTTTCTTGAAAAAAACTTAATTATAGCACGATGAGTTATTGTTATTTTACAAGCACTGCATAG